GGAGGCATTGAGCACAGTTGTTCATGTGTTGAATCTTACACCCTGTGTTCCTCTACAGTTTGCTGTGCCAGACCGAGTTTAGACAGGTAAGGATGTATCCTATAATCGTTTGCGAGTTTTTGGGTGCAAAGCATTCGTGCATATTCCAAAAGATGAAAGGTTCAAACTTGATTTGAAAACGCGACAGTGTATATTCCTTGGCTATGGCCAAGATGAGTTTGGGTACAAGCTTTATGATCCAGTTGAGAAAAAAATTGTGAGAAGCAAAGATGTCGTGTTTGTAGAAGATCAGACGATTCAGGATATTGAGAAAGCAGGGAAATTTATGTCTCAACAAGGTGATATCTTGACTGATATGGATCCAGCTCCTCTGAAGAATCTGCCATCTCAGGTTGAGAATGATGGTCAGGATGACCACCAGTGTACATGTGATGTGGATGTTCCCTTACAGGTTCAGGGAGATATTGAGACTGATGAGCAGTTGACAGCGCCAGAGATTCCACCAGTGATTCCATCCAGGAAGTCTGCCAGAGACCGACGTCCTTCCACTCGGTATTCAGCAGAGCAGTATGTGTTATTGACTGACGGGGGAGAGCCCCAGTGTTTTGCAGAAGCCATAGAAGATGAATAAAAGACAGAATGGGTTGAGGCCATGCAAGATGAGATGCAGTCATTGCATGATAACCACACCTTTGAGTTAGTGAAGCTACCTAAAGGAAAAAGAGCTTTGGAAAACAAGTGGATTTATAGGAAGAAGCAAAATGAGTTATCTTCACAGCCACGGTACAAAGCTAGATTGGTTCGGTCAGAGAAAAGGTATTAACTTTGATGAGATCTTCTCTCCAGTCGTAAAGATGTCATCGATCAGTATAGCACTCGGCCTAGCAGCTAGTCTTGACTTGGAAGTTGAGCAGATGGATGTGAAAACTGCATTCCTTCATGGTGATTTGGAAGAAGAGATTTATATGAAGCAGCCAGAGGGTTTCAAAGTGAAAGGGAAAGAGAATTATGTGTGCAAGCTGACGAAAAGCCTATATGGTTTGAAACAAGTACCGAGACAGTGGTATAAGAAGTTTGAATCTATTATGGGGGAGCAAGGCTACAAGAAGACAACTTCTGATCACTGTGCATTTGTTTAAAAATTCTCTGATGATGATTTTATTATTCTATTGCTTTATGTGGATGACATGTTGATTGTTGGCAGGAATGCTTCAAGGATTGAACAGTTGAAGAAGCAATTGAGTAAGTTATTTGCTATGAAGGATTTGGGGCCATCAAAGAAAATTCTTAGCATAAGAATCAGTCGTGACAAGAGTGCCAAGAAGTTATATTTGTCACAAGAGGAGTACATTGAAAAAGTGCTTCAGAGGTTCAATGTGGACAACACTAAAGTGGTTAGCTTTCCTCTTGCTACCCACTTCAGACTGAGTACAAAGCAATGTCCTTCTACAGATAAGGAAAAGAAAGACATGGAAAGAGTTCCTTACGCCTCAGCAGTAGGAAGTTTGATATATGCAATGATTTGCACAAGACCAAATATAGCCCATGCAGTTGGTGTAGTTAGCCGATTCTTGTCAAATCCGGGAAGAAAGCATTGGAATGCAGTGAAGTGGATCATGAGATATCTTCGAGGCACTTCCAGTTTAAAACTTGGTTTGGGAAACGGACAACAATTGTTAGTTGGCTACACAGATGCAGATATGGTAGGGGATGTAGATACTCGTAGGTCTACTTCGGGTTATTTGATCACTTTTGCAGGTGGGGCTGTAGGTTGGCAATCGAGACTTCAGAAGTGTATTGCTCTTTCTACGACAGACGCAGAGTTTATTGTAGCAACGGAAGCGACTAAAGAGTTCCTATAGGCAAAGAAGTTCTTGAGAGAACTTGGTTTCAAGCAGCAGAGGTATGTGTTATTTTGTGATAGCCAGAGTGCTATTCATCTTGCTAAGAATTCCAGTTTCTATGCAAGATCTAAGCACATTGATGTACGATACCATTGGATCAGAGATGCGTTGAACAATAAGTTACTTGAACTTGAGAAGGTTCACACTGATGATAATGGCTCTGATATGTTGACAAAGATATTACCAAAGGAGAAGTTTGAAGTTTGTTATTCGATCGTCGGGATGGCGATTCCTTTCACATAGTCGGAAAGGGAGAGATTTGTTGGGTTTATTTCCTTCTATATGGAGGAAAGCCCAAGTGGGTTTTATTAAAAGCTCAAAGCCCAGCCTTTAGGGAAAAGAAAACCCTAAGGAAGTTAGTATAAAAAGAGAGAGAGGTTAGCCGCAAGTGAAAAAAACAAAGAGAAGAAAAACACAGGTTTTTCCATTCTGCCCAGGTTTGATCAAATGTCCGATTCCGCTTCGTCCGTGGTCAGATCAAGCTGAAAATTGGAGGAGAGGTTCACGACTCAGTGATGCACAATCTGAACGATGGAGATCAGATTTTGAGCTCAGGAATAGTGATTCGTACTCGTGAACAGTAACCTGGTTTTGGTAGAAAAACGCAGGTTTTTCTATTCTGCCCAGATTTCATCAAATATCCGATCCCGCTTCGTCCGTGGTCCGATCGAGCTGAAATTTAGAGGAGAGGTTCAAGACTCAATGAGTTAAAATATGAATGGTGAAGATTGGATTTTGCACTCGGGAACAGTGATTCGTGCCCGTAAACAGTAACCGAGTTTTGGTATTTTTCTCTCTAATTCTCTTTCTTTTTGCCAAGATTGTTGTTATCTTGATGAGACGTTTTTTAACCTCTAATTGCGATTAGAGAAGACTTTGTGTACCCATTATTTGGTTAATAGTGGAGATTTTAACTTGACTAGGTCTCGTGGTTTTTCTTCCTCACACTGGGAAAGTTTTCCACGTAAAAAATTGCTTGTGTTCTTGTGGCTTGTTGTGATTGATTTGTTCTCTATTATTTTCAGCACATATAAAAGTAGAGATATATTATATTTGCTTGCATATAGGGAGAAGAATTATTCCGCTGCAGAAAACTACTGAAATAATTACATCAGAGGATTTGCGTTCGTGATTTCGGGCGTGAGGAAGTTGTTGTTTGGAGCGCGAGTCCGAATCCAAATTGTTAGTTGGAATATATGATTCGGAATTGGAGTCGGAAGGAGCGAAGGTGACAAAATTGATAAAGTGGATATCTTCAAAACCAAATTTGACAAGACTTATATATGATTATTAACTGATGATGTTCTATTCAATGAATGCCTTGTACAAAAGCTAAAAATATATATTGAGAAAAAAAAAAATTAAAAAAGAAAAAATCAAGAAACAAAACAAAACTAAAATTTGAATTCATACCTTCAATCCAAGAGGGTGCTCAATTTATATGCGTTTTTCCATTACGAACCATGAGTAGTTTACCAAAAATGGGTGCTCAATTTATATGCATTTTTCCATTACGAACCACGAGTAGTTTACCAAAAATACACACACACACAGATATATATATATAGAGGTTAAGTGTAAAAAATGACAAATCATAATTTTGGTGATAAAATTACTAAATTAACCTTACTTTAACATTAGTAAAAAAAGGGGGGCAAAATATCAAAATTACCTTTAAAGTCAAAACATAACATAACAGTATAAGGATTATAAATCAGTGTCCCAATATTTAAAACAAAATTGGAATGTGGGTGTCTAATTACCTTTTACCAAATTCAACCATTGTCCTTCCAATACATTCAAGAATATCTATATATAAATCTATAGTTGCTAAAAAAAAAATTTAGACATACGCCACTAACTACACGTCAATCTCACTTATCAATTATAATTTTTTTTTTAACTGTATTTTATCCTACTTATTAATGATTTTTGAGAAATTGTGCTTGAAAAGTTAATGGTAAACGGACTTGGAAAAAAAAAGAGAAAAAAAAAGTTAATAGTAAACTCAAAAAGTTTGGCTTGCACATTATATGATAAAAATAGACATTAATAAAATAAAATAAAATAAACAATTTTTTTTTTAAAAAAATGTGTTGCTTGAGTATGTGTTCAGCCGAAGAGCAACTAGATCAAAATTTTAATTTTGATAGAAATCTGAAGTTCATCTGATAACAATTTGCATCAAAGCAAATCCATTTATTTAATAATAATATTATTATTATTATAGATATAGATAAATATATAATTAAGGGGGGCTCATTCATTTACAATAAAATATAGTGCATCTATCATTCGGAGAGGAGATAATATTGGCATAGAAAAAATTTTAGGAGAAAAAGAAAATAGAAATAGAGATAATATTGGCGGCCACAAAAAATATTTTAGAGAGAATATATTTTTTAAAGAGACAGACTATGACAATACAAAGAATTTTCCTTGGACAGGTCTTGAAACACATTCAAACAAAATCATTTAATATTCAAATACATACAAAATTAGTAGGGACATTATTGTCAAACAAAAATAGCACTTTAAAATTTTTTTTTTAAAAAAAAATATTACTAGCCGCTCTTTTTCAACGAATCCATTCAATGATGGACAAATTGCTCAAAAGATGAATAATACAATGAGTTGTAATCAATTTTTTATTTTATTTTTTTTCTTTTCTAATAGGGGTGTTTCTTGCATATTTTTTATATAATAAGGGAATTTGTATATCTATAGGACCGCCATCATATCTAAGGAACCGTATAATGTGATTGAATTTCTTGCTCATTAGTAAACAAGAAATCATTTTCGATATATATAAGGTAATGATCGAGCAAGAATTTCATCGACAGTGTCCGTAGATGTATAAAGATAGACATTGGATTTAGTAACAAAGAAAAAAATAATAAATAAAGGGAAAAAAAAATTAAATTGTACAGGAAAAGAAAGACATCCAAACATATATAATCATTTCATTCGATGATGATAAGATACAAACAAATAATTAGCCGATTATTCATGCTGGATGCACCTAATATGATAAAAAATATATAGAAAATTCTTTGTCATGATGGAGTCTAGAATATATAGAAAACACGAACTTACTAGGATTACTTTAATACTGATGAAATAGAGAAATTTAAATTTCCCCTTATTATTTATTTTTGTTTCTAATGCCGGGTGAGCAACACAAGATCACAGTAATTACTTTCTCATTTCAGGAATTTAAAATACTATAAGAAAAGTAAAAGTACCAGACTTCAAATTCCTCATCAGACGATTCTTTCGGGATGATCTCATATCGTGGAATATTCAATCGATCATGCCTGACTTCTGTTTCAAAACCTCTATCGCCTATGGGAAAACTCTGTCCCACGGTCAGATGCGAAGCTATATACGCAACTCTATTAGCTACCGTGTTTCCTTGAGAATATTGAAATGATATTTCATATTTATCAAATTCTAACGAACCAAAAATTTTGCTGCATCACAATAGTTTTATATCAATATAATTGGAAACTTGAATATAAATTTTAAGAATAAACTCGAACTTTATACAAAAAAACTTACTGATAAAGTCCAAGACATTCAATTGGTATATCGTTCTCACGATTTAGCACCTTGACAATTTTTTTATGGTTAATCTCCAATAATATATCCTTTGCTTCCAATCTCCTTTTAAGAATTTCATCTATCCCATGAAGCACTCCAAGTAACAATACTTCATCTCTAGATGTTGCATCAGGAAATGGCTTATAGAAAATTTCCAAAATCCTTCCCCTACAATCTCTTAATACTTCTCCACAACAAGCTTCCTTGGTCCCACCAAGATTTTTCTTAAAAAACACAGAAACATTTAACTTGTACTGTCCATCGAATGGTGCTCTCCAAGAACAGAGTACTGAGTATTTTAATAGTGTCATTGGAGAACTCTCCAAAACATAAATTTGCTGCTTAAACAGGTAATTATAAATCCTTTTTTTGTACTTTTTAGGAATCCAGAGTACCAACCACATGAAGTCATTTATCGAGATATATCTGGTCTTGGAAACCCCAGCCACATGCCAATCAGTGTTGCCCTTTTTGAACAACCCATAATTTTCTAATATAATGTTGTGCTTCTGTTCGAAAAAAAGTTGTTGGGGTCCACAAAAAACATGTTGTTTAAAGATCAAACAATATAATTGTTAAAAAAAATCTGAATTAGATAAAAAATAAAATTAAAAATTAAAGTTATGTATATATTGAACTTACGACTAAATTGGGGATGCAATTGTGGATGCTTTTAAAATTTCCTTCGTTGATAAAAGATACAGAACTTGCAATAAAATTGTCAATGTTTGGAAAATTTCCTTCCTTGATGTAAATGGCACGCACCATTCGATGAAGGATTCCTAAGGAGGCAAAATATAAAAACAGCATTAAAGGCAAAAATATAGTAACAAATAACAACGAAAAGATAAACATTTTAATCACATGAAGCCAGAATCTTTCTTGATTGTTTTTAAGAATCAGGTACAAAAATAGAAATGACAATCCTGGAAGTAAATTCACGAATTAGACGTGTACGTACGATGCTTTGGGAAATGCTCCCGCTTGAAATTGAAGTTTGAAAGATACGGTTTTCACTATTAACCCAAATGAAACGATTTTATATGTTTAGCCCTTTAATTCATTTATTTATTTATCTATTTTATGTTTCCTGATAACCCAATTATTTTTATTTACATTTCAATTTTAATTCTATATTTTTCTCAAGCACTACATTACTATTAGCAACCGGTGGTCTGAACAAAAAAAAAAAGTTGAGACTACATTACTTCAACTGATGTTGAACAATGTAGACTTGTTAAATTTCCCCCCTCATCTTCAAAGGGTTCACATCAAATACACCATGCCAGAAATAATTAAGAAAATAAATAGGAGTGAGGTAAATAAAAAAATTGCTAAGCATATTATTTCGAATGATATTCAATTCAATGTGGTTCAGACTCGATCTTTTATTGATTTCGTGAAGAGTGTATCTGTATTTGAGTCCTAGAATTTACGTTGTATGACTCAATCATACAAATTACCAACTTACTCAACTTTATGCACGAAGCTAATACCAGATTCTACGATGGAAGTTGAGGCATACGGTGTAAATTTGCATAAAATGGGATTTATTTTATTAATTGTAACATTTTCTTTTATTGTCTTTACAAGTATATGATATAGAAGAAAATATATAAGATGTGTATAGCTTAATTTTTTGTCCCGAATTTTCACCTCATACGTGTTATACATGTATGTATCCGTATTCGTATTTTTCTTTTCCGTTTATTTGGCCGAATTTTGCAATGTATTAAAAAAATAATAAAAAAAATAAAAAAATAAAAAAAAAGTCGAATTATACTCATACATTCCCAAATCCTTCTTCTTCTCTTTTTCCTTAGCGTAATTTACTAACTATGATAATAATAAAATTCCCTAGAAGAGGGAAGTTATAGCTAAACACAATGTAAAAATTCAGATTGAATTAGATATTCGAAACATTTCATGCTGTGAACAACATGCTCTCATTACGGGCAGTCTTCATTTTTTAAAACTAGCAATGACAAGCATGGAATTGATGTTCTGGAACGATAGAAATAAAAGACTGCAATTTGACCTTTGCAACTGGGCATTAGTACTCCAAGTCCAAGGCATGGATTAGAAGTAATGAAACAAAATTCCGTTGATAGATGATGTAATGTTACTTATAAAGACTGAGCATCAGCATTTCAAGATATCTTCAGCAATAGAGAGTTGCATTATATTCTTTGCGCGATAGAGACGGCAAGGATAAGCGTCGACCTGTCTTTAGCGTGATCTTACGTTTGTGACAAGTCTGTATGAAGAGGAGAAGGTTTTTGGAGGTAGTAAGACTACCGCGCATTCTCACTTTCGGGCTATTGTCGTCAAATGGAGGGCACATCAAAGTAGATGTGGGAGTGCCGAGAGAAGGAAAGAGACTTAATAACTGTGCCTTTTGGTTTTTTCTACACAGAAGTCGCAAGCCTCGAGAAGACAGAAGAGTGGGCTATGAAGTCTTGAATGGTGATGACTGGGGTGTGTGACTTCATTGCCGGGGACCCAATACTTCTATTCAAGCTACATTCTCTCAATGAGGCAAATATGGTTTTAAAAAAGGGAAAACCATAGTGGGGAGATGCTTTTTTAAATACAGAGTGGGATTCTCTGGCATTATGAGGAAGAGCAAGGAATGGCGAATTCTATTGTATGGTGTGCAGCTCCATCTATGGTGCCATCCACAATTCGTTGCAATTGGGGATCAGTGTGGTGATTTTAAGGGCGTAAAAGCAAATGAAAAGGTAAACATGAAAAGAATAAAATTTTAGGCCTGGACAGAGAGGAGAAACCCGCTTTTGTGATGGCGGGGGACGGGAAGGTGTTTTATCAGGTGGCTGTGTTGGAAGAACCATGTCAGAATTGACTCTGACAGTAGCATCGCTCAGAGATCAACATGAGAAGTTGTTAACTCAAGAGAAGGATTGGTGGTGAGAGAAGGACGAAGCCAAGTGTGCATCGGAAGTATGCCGGAAATTGAAATATGAGAAGTAGAGGTAAAAGGGACAAGAGAGGTTGGGGACAAGGGTCTTTGCAAGCGCCTGAAGCACGTAAAAAGAAGAGGCGAACAAAAGGAGAGGGTCTTCTTAACAACCAAAAAGGGGTGGGAGGCAGCTCGGTTGCAACATGGCATATAGGGGATGGCAATGGGAGAGATGTCACGCGACATGTGCCGCTATTAATGATCCAATCATAAATGCAAGCATTCGGTCTAGGTTTTAAAATTTTGAAAACACAGACCACCACCTCAAACAAGAATGAACCTGCTATTACTGATCCAACCCGAAATAAAAATAATAGGTAGGAGTGACAATAACTGATACGACATGAAATAAATGTGTTTACGTTTGACTAATCGTGCTTGGATTGCAATAGTGTCATCCCATACCATAGTTGTTAAGGGCACACCTAGGCTCTAAAAAAGTCCCAGGCTTGTCGAGGCTCAGCTAGAGAGCCTTGACCTAGTAAAGGCCAAGCCCCTTCAGTCAGGCTCACTGGCATGCACTTTTTAGTATGTCCCAGGCCAAAAAAAAAAGTGTCTTTCAATTTTTGGGTAAATTCCACTTACCTCTCTTGATTCCCCCTGCCGTTGGGACACCTGACAGAGATGAACAGAATATTTTAAGGTAAGTGAAATTTGTTCTCTATTTTTCAATAATTTATTCATATCATTTTTCTTTTTTCAAATGACTACTAAATTAGAATGTCACTATGGGCGATTTCACCCCACTAGGGGCGATTTCAAGGCGATCGTGATTTTGTTTTTCAGTTTCAGTTTGCGATGAAATCTTTTTTAGAAATTGCAAGGATTCCAAGAATTTCACTGAGAAGGGATGTGAAGTCAGCAGTTCCACATCGAGGGCCGTCTTTGTACATCGACGAGGAGCCTGTCGGAGGGAGGAAATCAGTTCTCTCACCTTGCTTGGTCGGTCGTTTTGACAAGGAAGTTGGGGGATGTGATCGGGTGGAGGAAGGGGCGGTGTGAGCATGGAATACGTCCTGTGGAATGGGGGTTACTCCCTTATCCGATTCGTTGCTCCTATTCAGGTTTCCTTCTCAGGCAAAAGCTCAACGTGTGTTGAAGGAAGGCCGGCGTCAATGCGGATCTGCAACCTTGTGGATCGATGTGTGGTCTTTTAGGGTTGGTTGTTGCGGCGTCCTTAGAGACAAAGGTCTCAAACAGATCCGGATGTTTGGACTGCCCCTTCACCTATGGTGTCATGCTTTATTTGTTGAAGTAGGGGAGTTGTGCGGCGGATTTATGGGAGTTGTTGCAGATGAAACAAGGGACGCCGAAAGCATTCGGATTACAGTGAGAATAGGATCGACCTGTCCGCAATTCGTGTTTATTAATGATGACACTTTCTGTTACAAGGTGGCGATTTGGGAAGAAGTCGCGCCGGAGTTGGTTCCCTCGACAGAGAGTCTTGAATGCAGTGACGGGTCTCATCTTATGACTGAGGAAGGATGGTATTCGCTTCTTAACAAAGGGAAAGAAGTGGTGCAACAGGTCCAACAATGGCTGAAAGATAGAGAACTTCAAAAAATTTGTGCGAGGAATCAAGTAGCCGAGACGCGCCGGTTAAGCGCGTTGCAGCTGACAAGAATAAAATTACACGTGGCGCTCGTAGAGGCTCACTTCCAGATTCGTCCCTATCCTTATCTACAAGGGTTGGTGAAGAGGTTGGGTAGGGCCGCACAAATTGGCCTAAGGTTGATTTAGGTTGGAGGGGTTCAGGGCAAGCTAAAGTGTTAAGTTTTGGATCTGGGAGGAATGGGCTCAAGTTCAAGCCTGACTTTGGGCCTAAGACAGCCCACACTAAAAGACGGGTATTTAGAGGACCCAACTCACTTTCTGTTTCCTTTCTCAACGAACCAGATCCATCTAAAAGACAAGCCCAGGTTCAAGCTCAAATCCAAAACCAAACTCTCTCCTCTTCTTCATTTCAGCGTCGGACTGAGAAAGAAAAGTGGAGACTGCCAGTTGCTTCAGCTAGTCGCCAAGGCACTCGATGGACTCGTACTTAAAAACATAAATGGGTAGCATGCTCTCCTTCTCCTTCTCCTTCTCCTTCTCCAGGTTTGACCTCTGTTTCTCATTCTAAGAGCTCATTTTCTACCCCTACTTGTGAGGTGATGGGAAATGGTGGCCGTGGTGTGGAGGATCGTTTGGATCATAAGAGGGGTTTTTCTGAGGCCATTGTTCCACGGGCTAAAGAGTCATTGTCTTCAATGATCACGTCCGGAAGTGTTAGTTGTTCTAACGGGGTCATAGTATGTGTAGGACGGGACCTTCATTTCAAGCTGACAGATGATTTAGCCATGACTTTACTTAACGAACTTAAGCTCTTTGTTGCTCTAAAAGGCTTAAATGGTTTACCCTCCGTGACTGGGACGAATTACACCCATGATTTGATGACAAATTTTACGGATGACCATGGAACAGAGCTGAATCTGCAATTAAACTTGTATCAGAACAGTGTTGAAAGCAAAGGGGAGGAGTTTGAAGATCAGTTTTCTTCTCAACAGATCTGTCCTCTTGCCTGGGATATTGATCAATCTGACGTGGACATTATGGAACCCTTAGCAACTGTGCACCCTGATTGCCTAGAGACGACAAACGATTTGGGTATGGACTAGGTGTTTGATAATATTGGCGAGGTCAGTGAAGCTTTGGGTGTCTCCTCGGAAGGTGATGATGACCGAACACAATCCATTCTTCATGTTATTGTGGCAGGAAATAACCATACAGAGACCTTTAAAAGCACAAAAGTTGATAAAAATA